CTATGGTATTTATAATTTGATTATACACTGTTACTGTTTGATACACTTAGGCATAATTCTCTAAATGAACATTACTATTCCTGAAGAAAGAGTCTTTAACTCAGATGCATGCTCAGGATAAACAACACAATGCTGGACAATAGCTATACCTGCTAATTGACTGCCTGCCTGTAACTGGCATGCAGGAATCTCATCCTAGATCAGGGTCAGACCCTCTTCTACAACCCATTCTGAGGCAAAAAGAATGTATCCTAAATGATTCTGTGCACTACAGATCATCTACGTGCAGTAATTAAAAATTAACATTAAAAGTATGCATTATATATTTTAGTTGATGCATGTAACTTTCAACAAACATAATTACCTCCCTGAGGTCATCGCTAAACCATACTTTCACTCCTTCCACACTAGCCACTCCATATTCCTTATCCTCCTCCAAATGCCACTTTTATTAACAAGGCTTTCCCTGACCACCACAAAACAGCAAATTCTTCCAATCCATTCTCCTTCCTTGTATTTTTCTATATAGCACTTACTACCATTCGACCTATTGTACCCCTGTTTACTGTGTAACCCTAACTCCTTAAGGACAAAGATTTTTGTTGGTTTTGTAACTGGATCCTTGGCTCCTAGAAGGGTCTTTGGCACACATTCAATGCTCACTAAATATATGGCGAATGAATGAGTGAATCCATAAATAAATAAAGTCAAGAAACTAATTTGAGCGTCAAAAGCTCATGTAATCTAGCACCATTACTAGAAAGCTATAAAAATCAATTTTGATAGTTCAGTATAGTGAATTACAGTAGGAATTTCTGGGATCAATGTTGATTCAGGGCCAAAAAAACAACAAGAAAATTGAGAATGTACAAGTAGCCCTTAAGTCATGTAGAGACATACAATTATAGTTTCCACATAATCCTTTTCAATTAAAAATGCCCAAATATGTACATAAAAGAGAAAGCACATATTAGAATATGACAACACTCCACTTAATTAAAACAAAATTAACCATAGGCTAGCTAATTATACTTATGCACAGCAATGCATAATAATAAGATGAGAAAGTTTCACACAAAACCTTCTCAGGGAAAATGTAAAAGGGAAATGGAAATAGCTATATTGTTTTATTTTGTTTTCCTAGTACTGAGGACTGAACTCTTTGCACTGAGCTACCTCACCAGCCTTTTAATTTTTTTTTATTTTGAGATAGTGTCTCACTAAGTCACCCAGGGTCTCAGTAAATTGCCCAGCGTGGCTCAAACTTGTAATCCTTCCGCCTTAGTCTCCCAGGGTGCTGGATTCACAAGCATGTGCCACCATGCCCAGGTATGTTCTCTCTCTCTCTCTCTTTCTCTCTTTCTCTCTCTCTCTCTCTCTTTCTCTCTCTCTCTCTCTCTGTCTCTCTCTCTCTGTCTCTCTCTCTCTCTGGTAAGAGTTTATTCATGTTTTATTTTAGCAATATAAAAATTTTTTAAATAAAGTTTTCAAACTCCTTCCTCAAAGACAACCAGGGATAACAATTTATTTTGTAATATAAAAGACGTTCTGTCTTCATAATCAGATACATATACAGATGTAATATTTTTAAGTAAATTAAATGAGGGGCTGGGGATTTAGCTCAGCGGCACAGCGCCTGCCTGGCAAGCGCAAGGTTGTGAGTCTGATTCCCCGAACAAAAAAAAAAAAAAGTAAATTAAATGACAAGAATTCCACTTCCAGAAAAATGGAGTATATGTACCTTTCCCTAGTTTTCCCAGTGAAGTACAACTAGAACCCCAGGATGGAAAAGATAAACAAGACATCAAAAGATGGATAAAAACAGAACTTCAAGACAACATGGTAGCGGGTTACCTGGCTTTGTTTCGGTTGTCTCATATAACTCAAACCTGGAGCAAAGAAGTTAGTAACCTAGAAACACAATGAGCACAAACAAAACAGCCTAACAAAAGCCTGTTCCTTTAAACCAAAGGACAAGGAAAAGCAAAGCGTAGCAACACAGAAAACTTTTGGACAATAATTACTATATTGCTGGGCAAACACTAAAGAAACTGTGGCAGCACTCACCTGTTCAAAAAACTAGACTTCTACTGTCGATAGGATGTAAGGAACTATTCAAACTCCTCCAGCCCCCACAACTGATTATTGTCAGAGAAAGCCAGGCAAAGAGCTAGGACTCTTATCCCAAGCAGGTGGTAATAGACCATCAACACCAATCCAGTGTACCAAGGCAGAACATGGAGGGAGCAGTAATAAAGCATTCCTGCTCCTCCTGGTCAGGGAGGCTTCCATGGAGGCCTTGTGAAAAAACCTAGAACATCCAGCCAACATTGGCAATTATGAGGAGCATCCCCTTAGTCAACAGAGAACAAAAGGAAAAGCTAGATTTCTATCCCCTGGTTACCTATATATTCCATTAACCATAGTCTACTCCCTAAGCCACTAAAATAGTTTCCCAGGTTCTATGACAGGACTTTTTTGAATTAATTTTTATATAATACTCATTTCCCTGCTGAGATTCCATTTCCACTCTATACCCCACTTCCATCTAGTTGGTTACTTGAAAGCCCATCTTTTAGGCCTTTTTTCTCCTGGAGGCTGAACCCCGTCAGCCTCACTATGGGACTTCACTATTATTAAAAAACCTGCCTCAAAATATCCAAAACCTAAGAACTACTAGACTGCTACCCAGGGGTTCGTTATTATCATTATCCAGAAATTTATGTTATCATGTTCTGTCTTTTGGATAATGACCTAAATTTACCTATTAGTCAACTCAATGAATAGTTACCTCAAATAACAAATAAAACACATGTGATGTATTGTTCATTGTTTTTTTTCCGGCCATCTATTCTCCCTCCACACTTCTTCGCTCCAACCAGTTATTCACAAATTCTGATATATTTCATGGTACAATGCTGCCTGGCTTATAATAAGTAACAATGCCATAAAATATAAACACAATCACCGGAATTATAATTTCTGTGAATGTCACATACATGAAGTCATAATGACAGAAGAGTTTAATAGGATACCTTTTAATTATGCAAACAGAACATTCAAAAACATGTATCTATCTACCTATACACATCCTATTGTTATCCCAGTATTTTACAAAATAAAGATTTTTCTCTATTATTTCTTTAACTAGCTCACAAAATGTTTACCACTCCTTTCCTTTACCACTATTATATTAATTTCAGACATCTAATATCAAACCATAACTATAGTATTCATGCTTAGAGCAAATTACATTACTTAAATTTTTCACTTTTCAGTCTTAACATCTCTAAGTCATAATGTTTGTTAGCGGGGGCTTGAGACGGAGTCTTGCTATGTAGTTCAGACTGGCCTTGAACTCATTACGTAACCCAGGGTGGCCTCAAACTCACGGCAGTCCTCCTCCCTCAGCCTAAGTGCTAGGATTACAGGTATCTGCCACCATACCCGGCCCCCAAATAGTAATTTTTTAACTAATTTTGTTATATTCCAGAATATTCCCATGCTAAAAAAAAAAGAATTTTTAAATTAAAAATGCCAGAGCAATAGCCAGAAAAATAACTATACACTGGACACAACATGTACTTGCACACTTACTAAAGAAATACAGAACAAGTTTACCTTCAAGTCCTTAAAACCTACAAAGTATATTCTACAGGAGTTAACCTTATAAAAAAGTATCAAAATTCTACCATCCTAGACCAGGGAAAAATATCTAAAAAGGACATTATTAGGACAACTCAATGGTTTTTAATCCCAGTCAGTACTGCCTGAAGGATTTTTGGTTGTCATGTTGCAGGAAGGAGGAAGGCCATAGCCTGCTCTTGGAATCTAGTGGTCAGATGCTAGAAATCCTGCATTCTATAACATACATGATAATCCTCCACAACAAAGAACTGCCTGACCCACAATGTCTTAAAAGGTTGAGAAACATGAGACAATTGATGAAATCTAAATATGAACTATAGGGGCTGGGGATTTAGCTCAGCAGCACAGTGCCTGCCAGGCAAGTGCAAGGTCGTGAGTTCAATTCCTGGTACCGGAAAAAAAACAAAAAAAAAAAGAAGGAACTCTTAAATATGAACTATATTGTATCAAGTAAATTTCTGGAATTAAATAATTTTACTGTGGCTTCACTGAAAGAACCCTGTTCTTAGGAAATACATATCAAGGGCCAAGGATATAGCTCAGCAGCATAGTATCTGCCTGGCAAGTATAAGGTCCTAAGTTCAATTCCCAGTACAAAAAAAAAAGAGAAATACATATCGAAGTATTTAAAAGAATGTCTCAACTTACCCACAAATACTTCAGAAAAAATATATTATATATATATTTGCAGAGAGAAAAAAGATAATGCAGAAAAATGCTAACAGGTGAATTTGAGTAGATAGTATAGAGAATTTTTTTTATTATTGTAGTAATTTGAAATTAAAACGAAACTTAAAATGTATTACCAAGACAATAAATTTTTTTCCAGGAAATTTTGCACAGTTTCTCAGTATATATTACAATACAGCAACATAAGTTTCTTTTACTCCCACTCAACATAAACTACCCATCCGGAATATCAGATACTTATAAATTTTACCCAAATAACTCACGTAAGCTGAAAAGTATAATCTCTAAAATGTGAACTGAACAAAGCTAGAAATATTTGGATATCCACCAATGATGTAATATATTTTAGTATATCAGAGTAAAAGGTTGGCCAATATACGCGCAATTCATATTTCAATTTACAATGAAAACTGAAATAATTTAGAATCACATGAGACCTGAACATAACCAAAAAAAAAGAGATACATAAAAAATAATACAAAAAAGATTTTGTAAGACTCATTTTCAGAAGCTTCAAATTAACTCTGAACTCTCCAACCTCACTCTCAGATTTCTAGGCACTTAAATGGTGTGCAACACAAATACAATAGCCTCGTGAATAACAACAGTCTACTTGTAATAAAAATGTAAACGTCTTTTAATACAGGAAATAGGGTACTTACAGATGTCTGGGACATACTTGACTGTTGTGTGACACTTCCTGTTGGGGATGTAGATGGTCTTCCACTGGACAAACTTGCCTAAAACATAAGACCTCTATGATATGTCTGTAAAAACCTCAAATTAAAAACTTCCTGGTACCCGCATAACACAAAGCCACAATAACAAAAAGCAGAAAGGTCTATGTATGGAAACAACTCCTTTTGTAGTCAACATGGCTTAATCTTTAGCCCAAAGGATTGTATCCAGAAAGAAGAATAGAAAAAGCTGAAAACAGAACCCAATAGCTAACCTAATTTTCCAGCTATATTCATGCCAGTTTTACTCCACAGGTGTCTATCATCTCTGACATGGAATCACCATACCAACATTACGAAAAAGAAACTGAAGCTACATCAAGAGCCAAAGAGGCCAGGCATGGTGGCTGAGGCAGGAGGATTATTGCAAGTTCGAGACCAGCCTGTGCTACACAGTGAGCTCAAGGCCAGCCTGAACTGCATAGAGAGACCCTGTCTCAAAAAGACAAAAACCAAGAGCCAATGAGTTTCTGTTTCCTAACTCGTACTGTGAATACAGATACAGCAACAGCTGGTATCTATCCATAACAGAAATAAACCTTTTTTCAGGTTCAATCAACTGAGATCCTGCTCTGATAAAGACATTTAAGATTAAACCTAACATAGAATTTTACTTAAATAGCATAACATTAATGAAAATCTTTTTTTGGGGGGACAGGAATCGAACTCAGGACCTTACACTTGCCAGGCAGGCACTTGTGCCACTGAGCTATATCCCCAGCCTGAAAAATCTTTTTTGAAACATAAGGATTTAACCAATGTTTACAGCAAGGAATTCACATTTCAGCCATAAAGAATAAAATCATGTCATTTGCAAGAAAGTGGATGGATGATCATACTAAGTGAAATAAGCCAGATTCACAAAGTAAAACTGTATGTCTTCTCTTATATGAAAGTCAAAAATATAAATAAACAAATAAACAAATGAATGAATAAAATAAAGGAGAAATGATAGGAAACCAGAAGGTAGAGTCTTACACATGGGGAAGATCAGGGGAGGCAGGGGGGAAGGAAGAGGGAGGTAGAGACTGAAAATGATGAAGCTATGTTATCTGCATATACCAGTTCCCCCAAATGGTCATAATTATTCTGTACTGCAAACATGCACTAACATAAAAAAAGAAAGAAGCACTTAATCATTATTATATTGTGTTACTAGTAGGAATAATACAATTGGATTTTACATGTATTTTTTACATATATTTTTGAACAGAGAATTTCAGGAGGAATAGATATAAACTGTTACACTGGCCACTACTGCAGTGTGGAAAACACGTTACGTGGGGAAAGGAACATCTCTACTTTACTCACCTCTTACAATTTTACACTGTTTGATTTGTTTTAACAAAGATAAATTACTTACATACTTTTAAGACCTAATTTATTTTTGGTTAAAATAGAAATAAAATTCACATAATCCTAAGTAATCAGTGTTAGATTGAGAATTTTGAACACAAGACCACAGCAGTAAGTACAGCATTTCTCTGATTTGTATAACACACAATCAGACAAGCCAGGCATGATGGAGCCTGCGGCAGGAGGATTGCAAGTTTTAGCCTGGCAACTTAGCAAGAACGTGTCTCTAACTAAAAAATAACCAAGGGCTAGGGATATAGGTCAGTACAGAGGACTTAGGTTTAATGCCCAGTCCCGAAGAGAAAAGAAAAAGCAATGAGACAAAAGCTAGCAACAGTAAAACACAGAACATGTTCAAATGGGAAGGGGAACAAGGGAACGGGACAGAGAAGGAAAAGGAGAAGAAAAGGAAAAAAAAGAATGGAAGGAAAAAATGGAAACAAATCTTTTGTAAGTGGGGAGGGAAAGAAGGACTGATAAGAGGTGAACAGAACAGGAAAAAAAGGAATTAAAATATATTACGTACAGGTACAAATTCCCTATGATGAATGTGATCACTACATATGACAGGTATATACTAATAAAAAAAAAGTTAAAAAATAGTAACACATAAAACATACCACTTTTTTCCCTAATTAACTTCTATTTGGCAGTCTGTTAACATATTCACTTCAGGAAAGATAAACACAATACATGAGAACTTGGAAATTTAACCAGTGTACTTATTTTCAGTAACTGACTAAAGATAATGTAAACTTTGACCTCATAAATCATTATTTATTCCAGTCTCACCTGAACGGCAGCAAGGCTCTGGAGCTGGGAGCTGCTCAAATGCTGCTGCTGTAGGGCTGCAGTGTGCAGCATCAGGTGCTGCTGCTGAGCTGCGTACATCTGCTGAAGGTACTGAGCAGCTGAACTGGGGGGGCGATGCAACGCCTGTTGAATTACCTGTGATAAGTCAATTGAACCAATGTCAAATCGAAATCTCAACCTTTCTCTTTTTTTTTTTTTTTTTTTTAGCTCTGGAATTGAACCCAGAGCCTTGTACGTAAATGGTAAGCACATGCTCTATTCATAAGCTACAACCCCTGGCTCAACCTTTATCTTAATCATAAAATGAAATATTAAAAAGCAGTGTAGAAGCTATACATGGTGATAAACCCCTGTAATCCCAGCACCTGGGAGGCTGAGGCAGGAGGATCAATGTGGGTTTGAGGCCAGCCTGGGCTGCATAATGAGTTCAAGGCCAGTTTGAACTGCATAGCAAAACCCTGTCTCAAAAAATAAAAAAATAAAAAAGCAGTTTAAAATTTTACACTCCAAAGTCATCAAGTTTACTAACATATCTTTCTCCTAGTTATATATCACTACAATTCACTAGCTGTACAAATTTTACCCAAAAGAAAAAATTCATAACCCTAGAGCCAAATAAGCACAGGAGGGAATCTGCAATCTCACTAGTAATCAAAACTTACAAATTAAAACAAGAGAATGTTTTCCAAGTTTTAAATGAGTGAAGATTTAAAAGAATAGTTGTACTAACTGGAAATGTAAGTCCTCCCATACTATGAGTAAGAATTTAAATTGCTATCACCTTTTAGGATAAAGCTTGGTAAAATTCAGAGATTAGGTATGGAAACCAATAATTTTGCTGTGCAAATAGTAATGTAAGTCAGCATTATTCAATATAACAGCCACTAGCAGTGTGACTCTACTAAGCAATCTTAAAATATAGCTTGTGCAATTGGTTTTAACTCTAAATTGAACTTTAATTAACTTTAATATAATAGTTATATGTACAGCTAGTGACTACTACTTTGCATAGCACAGATACAGCTCCATACTAACAAAAAAAATCCCCATGTATACCATTAGGTGAAAAAAGCATATTACAAAATAGTTCAGAGTAAGGTACCATTTTTATATTAAAATATTTGAAAGGGCCTGGGGATTTAGCTCAGCGGCAAAAAGTGCCTGCCTGGCAAGCGCAAGGTCGTGAGTTCGGTTCCCGGTACCAGAGAAAAACCAAAAAAAAAAATAATAAAAAATAAAATAAAATAAAATATTTGAAAGGATACTCAGGAAAGCATTTTTTTAAAACAAAGAATGCAATTAGGAAAACATTTTTAAAAGCCTACTTATTGGTAGCTAGATTACAAGTGATTTTTAGGGCTGGGCGTGGTGGCACACACCTGTAATCCCAACACTTGGGAGGCTGAGGCAGGAGGATCACTACAAAGTGAGCTTAAGGACAGCCTGAACTGCATAGCGAGACCTTGTCTCAAAAAGACAAAAAAAATTTTAAAAGGGATTTTTAGGTCAGGTGTGGTGGTGCATGCCTGTAATTCCAGCACTTGGGAGGATGAGGCAGAAGGATCACCATGAGTTCAACACCAGCCTGGGCTACTTAGTGAGTTCAAGGCTAGCCTGAACTACATAACGGAGACCATGTCTCAAAAAAAAAAAAGTGATAGCCAGGCGTGGTGGCACACCCCTATAATCCCAGCACTCGGGAGGCTGAGACAGGAGGATCGTTATGAGTTTGAGACCAGCCTGGGCTACAAAGTGAGCTCAAGGCCAGCCTGAACTACATAGCGAGACCCTGTCTCAAAAAGACAGAGAAAAAAAAAAGTGATTTTTCGTTTCTGGTTTGTGCTCTCCTATGAATCTCTGAAAATAACTAAAATATACAGTTGTGCCTTGGCTTATGAACCTAATTTGTTTTATGATTTTGGGGAACATGGCTGCGTTTGTGTTTGTGTGAGGAAGACAGCCGTGGTCACATCTGTCACATGATGTAGTGAGTGCAAACAGAAGCAAAATTCTGCAGAATGCTTTTGTTTTATAGGCCAAACTGTTTGCAAACATAAGTGTTCAAGGCATTACTGTGTATTTATATCAATAATCATGTAAAATTAAAATAACTCAATAATTACTATTAAATGTCAGATTGCTTTTCTTAATTTCCATTTATAATAAACCTATTTTTACTAAAAAAGCTCCTGAAATAATTTTAATTACAGTAAATATTAAAAATGTTAGCCCAAACATAGAAAAATCAAGTAAAGTATTCTAATAAGACCAGAGAAAAATTCTGCATCTGTCCTAAAGATAAGGCTGGCTATGCCAGTCCTGTGCAGCCACATCCCAAAATCCTGTCATGTCTGCTATGACTCTAAACAACACAGAACCTTAATCTCAGCGGCAAACCAGGGTTTTCAAAGTCCTAGTGGAATAACAGAGCCATAATCCTATAGATTGAGAGCCTAAGTCAGAACATCTGGAACCATAAAGCCATAAATTCTTTTGTCTGAATTTCAAGAAAGTGTATTTCCATGGTTATTGTTTGTTTTCTCTCCAACTGTGAACTGCTATACCTACTATGAACTCATGTCACAAAATCAATGTAGGCTTTTGACTCCTAGTTGCAAAGAACTACAAGCCAGCATTAAGTGATTCAGAATTATAATACGCCATTTGTTTCTTTAATAATACATCCTTTTTGATCAGAAAAATCTATGTATGTTTTCTCATTTCATAATTATAAAAATCAAACTGAAATAACAAATGAATAACCTATCTGACACATCTTTTTGTCAGCACAGTCTTTCTTCACCATTCCATACTATACTCATGGCATCATGCAAACACAAGTTAAATGCATGGCACATTGTTCTTATTGTTTCTCTACAAGAAAAAAGAGAATGATGAGAATTCACAGGACTGAAAAAGAAATCTAGAAAATTAAAGAACGACTTTAATAATTCAATAAATATTGATTTGATTGCGTTTTAAAATTCTAGGATCTCATACGAACTAGAGCTATTTGTACAATACATCTACATATCTCCAATAACACTTTATTTTTATTAGTATGTACAACAAATAAAAACTAAAGAGCAGACTGCCATATTAAAATATCACAAAGGATGAAGGCACAAAAAAAACCACATCATCTGTATGCTTAAAGTTCTAGATACTCTTTTCTATATCCCCTGCCTTTGAAAAAAGTGAAAAATGTTAACTGCACATACTGCATTCCATATTTAATTTCTGCTGAGCTGGCTAGGTCCCCAAGAGTTCTGATTCCACTCTATAATGACTTCAGAAAACTAAATCCTAAACCACAGAACAGTGAAATAATCATTGTACTATATTTTTATGGATATCTACCACTAAAAAAAATAGAGCAGAGGAAGGACTGCATCACAAATAGTTTAGCTCTGTGGCACAGCACTTGTCTGGCAAGTGCAAGGTCCTGAGTTCAATTCCTGGTACCAAAAAAAAAAAAAAAAAGAAAAGAAAAAAATAGTTAAGAATATAATTATGAGGGCCTGGGAATGTAGCTCAGTCATAAAGTATTTGCCTAGTATATGTGAGACACTAGGTTCACTCTAAAGCACTACCAAATAAATAAAGCAGTTATGCAGATTCTAGAGAAAGCAAGCAGGTAGAATTTTTAAAAATGAATTCAGACTGGTTAAGGGCACAAACTCTAAAGTCAGAGAGCATACTAGCTAGCTATGTGAGTTTAGGAAAGATATTTAGCCTTTTAAAAACACTGGTTCGTAAAATGGAGATATTATATCTGTTTCATAGAGGTGTGGTAAGGATTAAACAACCTGTATAAAGCATTTACTAAATGCTTGGCACATGGTAACTGTTCAATAGATACTATCTATTATTATGTATTGCTTATCTATGATGTACACAGTTTCAGATACTTCACTTAATCCTCACAGTAACTGTGGAAGCAGCCAATCTTATCCTAATTTTATAGTTTCCTGAGGCTCAAGGAGATTATGCCTCTCACCCAAGGCCACATTCATACTAATGATAATGAAAATGGAATTCAATTAAAGAGCATATCATACTGTAAGGTTCATGCCCTTTTTTTTGAGACAGGGTTTCACTACGTAGTGCAGGCTGGTCTTGAACTTACTACGTAGCTCAGGTTGGCCTCAAATTCACAGGGATCCTCCTGCCTCTGCGTCCTGAGTGCTGCGATTACAGGCGTGCGCCACCATGCCCAGCTGTTTGTGCCCTTTTCAAACAATACCATATTGTCTCCATTATTATAAAGTTTAACTAAGAAAAAAAACTACTTTCTCACCTAAGTGACTAAGCTTAAGACTCTTCCTAAATACTCCTTTCCATTCTTCCCTTAGTAACTGTAGAGTAGATCTTCCTCATTAGGATACTTGGGCCACCTGGGCTTAAAATAAACCTTAGACATCTTAAGACCTGAAAAGATCTCGCTAAGTCTATATTTTGGGTTCAAATATAATCCCAGAAAAACCTAGAGGCATTCTTATGTTGAGGTTTGTTACAATTTAGATCTAGAATGTCCTCATGGCCTAGAGATGGACTTTTAAAGGGTGGCCGGATTACAGGGGTACTGTACTTATGGGGGATTCATCTACTGGTGAGTGTCAGGGTCAAGTGTGTTGTTGAGAGGCCACACCTGGTTTGAGGTAGGTCACTGGGGGTGTAACTTAGAAGGGTGTCTCCCTCCCAGAATCCTCCCTTTGCTCTACTTCCTGGCTGCCACGGTGTGAGCAGCTTTCCTCCTGCAGACCTTTCTTGCCTTGGGAAGAGCCAATCTTGGACTGAAAACATGAACCAAAATAAACCTATTTTCATTTAAGTTGCGGGTATTAGTATTCTGTGCCAACAACAAGAAAGTAACTAGGACAGGGCTCTTGATTGGGTATCTTCACTTTGGAATAGCACCTATAGATCTTCCAGTTAGAATTTTCCTGCCACATGCTGACAAATGCAAGCCATCTCAATGGTATGATTACTAAATAATTTAGTTGGCTGTTTCAAACATTAACAGCTTTTGTTAATCCTAAGGATCAAATCCAGTTGCTTTGCACATTCCAGACAAGCATTCTACCACTAAATTGTACTACATCCCCAGCCTAAATGTTAGCAATTCTAACTGTGTATTTGGGGCTATGAATTAATACATGCATCTGGCTAAAGCAAAGGGTAATATGACATACTAAGTCTTAATCTCGCCATCATTCTAGCTAAAATACCTGTACGGCATGCCGGTCTGAACCGCTGTAGACAGAGATCTGTGGTTGCTGCATTCGAGAGGAGGAAGTGGTAATGGTGGTGGTGGTGGTGCTGCAGGTTGTTGTGGACACAGAAGATGTTCCAGGGTTTGGTTCACTATCCATAGCTGTACTGTGGTCCTTAAATCTGGCAGATAACAAATAAGACGTGCATTGGTAAAAGCACTATCTTATGAGGTTTAAAGAGTATTCATCACAAAGAAATAATTAGCAAGTCTTAATTCCTAAGGACTTCATAAAATATAGCTAGCACACAGTCAGCAATAACACTCAGAAGGGAAAATATTTCACATATGTATAGAACATAAGTCAGATAAGCCCGGCCTAATATCTTTGCATTACTGAAAAATGAGGGACTCAAAACTGAAACCAGTAGTAAAAGAATACTAAACACTCTAGAAAAATAAAAGTTTATAAATCAGAATACTTTAAATCAATTCTTAACATTCTTTTGATCATACTAGTAACTACAAATTTAAAGCTGTTCTTTTATTTAAAATTCCTGAGGGCTTGAATTCATTAGCTTAGTTGTGGCTATCATATATACTTTGCTCTAAAAATAAACAGTCTTAAAAGTAAAATTAATTAAAAAATGTTTAACTCATACAGCTTTTCTAGCAATCATTCTTAACATTCTCCTTACTGTATCTAATAACTGAGTTTTACTTATTAGCAGATTTCTCTGACTGGAGAAACAGAGTTGACAATAACTTCCCACATCCTTGCAAAATCTTTTTTTCAAAAAGAACTGCTCTAAATTTTAAAACTTAGAGCTGTATATTTCTGTATCAGACTTTTAATTTTTTCCTTTAATATTGCAACTTTACCTCCCTTATGTTGTGATACAGAAATTCACCCAATATAGAGTCCACATGCAAAGTCAAATCTAAGGATATCAATATTGTTAGAAACTATGTAGAACTTTGGTATTTTTTAGAGCCAAAAAAATGTGCATAATGGTGAAAAGCACACAAGGGTGTACTGATTCCATCTGTTTGTTCTTTTAATTTTATTTTTCTATTAGTACATATTTGTCATACATATTGATCATATTCATCATAGGGAATCTGTACCTGTACATAATAGATCTTGATTCTTTTTTTCCCATGCCCCTAATCTCTATTCAACTCTTCTTCCCCTCCTCACTTGTTTCCATTTTCCTTCTATTCTTTTCCTCTTTTCCCTTTTTTCCCTTCTCTCTCCCCCTTCCCTTGGCACTTTCCCATTTGAACATGTTTTTCCTACTTCCCATTTACCTGTCCTCCATCATGACCCTTATTTACCCTTTGGGTTTCTCACACTAGACAAAAACTGCGATATTTAAACTTGTGTTCATATTTGTTTCATGTAAGATTATCGTCTCAAGATGCATAGATTTTCCTACAAATATCTCAGGCTTATCCTTCTTTATGGAGGAGTAGTAGTCCAGTGTACATAAATACCACATTCTATGTGCTTTTTCATATAGATCTTTTCTTCTGAGAAAAAAATGTGACATACTTCACATTGGAAGCACTGACAAGAATGTAACAAGAACATTTTCTATTTCACACACAGAAAAGGCATTTGGCATTAACTGGGCAAGCCTACATTATTCCCATAAGGTTCCTTTTACACACAAATTTTTTTCCTCTATATCGCATATGTAAACAGTATTTGTAGGCTCTGAAGAACCAGAGTAAAAACATTTACAATTAATAAAAGTGAAAGGGTGGGGACCTAGGTCCTCACATTTTATGATTAGAAGATGAATCATACACTTTTACACTTTTCTGACGTTTTTTCAAACTGCTTTCCAATCATTAAATCACAGTATCATATGGTAACTGTTCAATATTACAGATTTAGTAGCAGATAAGGTAAACTTTTTACCAAACTACTGTCACAACACCTCTGCACGACGTACCAATGATATGCAAAGAACTTGCTCAAATTCTGGTCCTTTTAAAGCGTTATTCTGTTCGACCATGCCCTAAAACCTAAACATCATACCAAGCAGTCCTTACCTCTAACCAAAAATGGTCACAGAGAATCCAAAGTCTAGGCATTAAGTTTAAATATTAGTGAGTGCAACTGGCCAATCGACGCATTGAATCTGGAGGCCTGGCACAAAAGAATGATTTTGGTAACTCCGGCATCTCAGTCTATTAATACCTGCAAAATACAGCCGGGCAGTTCTGGTTCACAAGAGGCCTACGCAGGAAACAGTAAGTTTTAGAGTCGCTAACTAAGCATACCATCACGCCGCTGCACAAGAATGTGGCCCTCCGGGGAGGCAGCAGCACTGCAGTCGGAGACCGCTGGGACGCTCTTTCCTTCTCGGTGTTTTCAACCGCACCCCAGACAGCAGCCCCTGCCACCCCGGAGGCCCGCGCGGGGACCCCTCCCCACGCCGCCGCAGGAGGGCGGAAGGCAGCCGCGTCCCGGGTCTCGCGCCGAGCAGCGGGGCGGCGCCGGGCGGAAGGAGGGGAGCGCCAGGGAGGCCTGGAGCGCGCGCCCTACCCACCCAGCCTCCGCGGGCGCCCGGCTGCAGCAGCCCGCGGGGCCCACTGGCAGGGATGACAGCGCCTGAGGGGCCCAGCGGGCGCGATTCCCCTCAAGACTGCAGCGGCCGGAGTGCCAGGGGCTGCCATGCGCCCAGGGCCCTGCCGATCCGGGACCTGACAGCGGAAGGGCAGCTCCCGCCACGGGGATGACTGGACCCTTGGAGCTCGCGTCGGTCCCCAGACCAGGGCCACGCGGACTCCTCCAATATCGGACGGCTCTCGGATCTCCCTTTTCCTACACAGCCCGTGAAAGAGCCCTGAACTCTCCCCCTGGGGAACGTGTCGCTGGCCCCACTCGCCCCCAGTTATAACATCCGTCACCAGCAAGTCACTCACTCCGCTTCCGCCATCTTCTCTCCTCCATCACTAACACGGGCTGCGCATGCGCCCCCCGGCGGCGGGCAGGGGGCGGGGTCGACGGTGCCCCGAGCCCCTGAGGTCACGTGGGGTCTTCCGCTGTCTATCCCGCCCCCCCATCTCCGCCTCGGCTCTTTCTGCAGAGTCCAGGTTTCCCCACCTTAATTATTGGTGTCTGCTTTGCAAGCCTTTGTTTTCTCTAGTTCGGGCTCTTCCCAGAGGATCTGTAACGATATAAAAACTTCTGCTTAGAATTCGATGTTTGAAGAAGTATACCAAAGCCAATGCAGAGTTGCCTGAGAGAAAATACCCCTGCGGATTAGCTGCTACGGTCTCCGAGGGAAAGGCGCTGTGCTGCTGCAGAACTGGTGGCCTAGGACGCCCTGGACCTTGAGGTCCCAGCCCGAAGTCTCTCCTGGCTCGGCGGCGGCGGCAGCGTCCACCCCCGGGGAGCGGGGGGCCCAAGTTTACTGAGAGCTTAGTAGGGACGCAAGTTGGAACACCGCAGGAAACAAGCAGGAATGCATCTAGTTCTTAAGAGTAATTTATTATATGCTAATTCTTCTGAGGCAGAGTGAGACAAACATACAACAATGAGTAAAATATTAACTATATAAAATAGTAAAGATATGTCTCCGGAGAGACGTCTTAATCCGGAGAGTGGAGTGGATTTTATAGATGTTTCCTCACAAATTACCTATAAATGTTCCGAAAGAGATCCATTAAATGCTTTGAAAACCATAAATTGAAGGAATGCTAAATCTTTGCTGCTGTTGATAGGAAAAAAAAGCATAATGATTATCAACGATGTCTGTTTTTGCATTTCATGAAATAGTGGGATCACATTAATTTCAAGAACTGAGAAATGAAGGATTTGAAAGAAATCCATCTCAAAGTGTAAGATGTGGTCAAATGAAAAGTATACTTAACTTTGAAAATCCTGTTTATGGATGTGCCATAGAAGGGAGAGGAACACTTCCTAGGTGAACTTGAATTGTTCCTGTATGCATCTGATTTTTCTTTCTTTTTTTTGTACTGGAATCAAACTCAGGATCTCCAACTGGGCAGGCAGAGGCTTGTGCCGCTGAGCTGTATACCTGGCCCCTATCTGATATTTTTTTTTCACCTTATCCTCCTAGCAAATGGTAGTGTCCTTCCTATAAGTAATCTTGGAACTCATTGAAAAAAATAATTGGAAAAGTTCCTGTAGATGCTTAGAAATAAACACCTACTTGTTTTTTGTTTTTGTTTTTTGAGACAGAGTCTTGCTATGTAGTCCAACCTGGCGCTGAACTCACTATGTAGCCCAGGCTGGCCTCAAACTTTAGGTGAGCCTCCTGCCTCAGCTTCCTGAGTGCTGGGATTATAGGCGTGCCCCATCATACCTGGGCTTACTTTTTCTTTTTGACTTGTTGCTGTAATGTCATTGTCATTTAGCTCTCAAGAATCAACTGTCCTGGCCGGGCATATTGCTCAGTGGCACAAGCACCTGTCTGGCAAGTGCAAAATCCTGAGTTTGATTCCCGGTATCAAAAAAAAAAAAAAAAAAAAAAGTGAATCAACTGTCCATTGGAGCTGAGCATGGTCAGGTATGCTTGTAATTCCAGCACTCTGGAGGCTGAGGCAGGAAAGGAGGTTAGCAAATTCGCACTCACCTTAGGCATTTTAGCTACTGGCCTTGTCTCAAAATAAAAAATAAAAAGGGCTGGGGATAGAGTTCAGTAAAAAAACAAAAAACAGGGGCTGGGGATATGGGTCAACAGTGCAGGGCCTGCTTGGCAAGTGCAAGGTCCTGAGTTTGATTCCCAGTACCCCCAAAACAAAACAAAACAAACAAAAAACTGTCCATTGGTATTTATGATGAAACTATTATTTGGAAAAACACGAGTGCAGAAAACACAGTCTGAGACCTAAAAATGGAAAATGCACAATCCCAGGAAGTATTTGGAACAATGGGCCAAGACTGTTCCTCTGCATCTCTCCTTCCCTCAAGCATTGAAAGCTTATGTCCCTATTGTTGCTTCATGCAGAGTGGCCTTAAAACTGAGAATATTTAGTAGGTAAAACTGATTCATCATTGGTTTTTTTGGGGGGGGTGGGTAACTGGAATCAAACTCAGACCTTGTGCTTGCCAGGCAGGTGCTGTGCCACTCAGCTATATCCTGGCCCCCAGTGCTGCTTTCAAAAAACATTTAAAAGTTTAATATTTATTTAAAAACTGATAATATTTATGTAGCTATTTATTAAATGCGAAGAATTTCTACTTAACTCATTTGTTGATCTTCACAACTCCAATGCGGTTTTCATTCCCATTTAGTACAGAAGTATGTATAGAGAGGCTCAAGGTATGGACTTTTGCTGACTGCTTAATGTGTACCAGAGTGGGGTCTTAATGTAAACTTTGCATCACCGAAGCCCAATTTTCACTACATCTAAGGTAAAACATTAGAGCAGAGCTAGATGTAATGATGCATGCTTGTAATGCCAGCTACTTGGGAAGCTGAAGCAGGAGGATTCTGAGTTCAAGGCCAGCCTGGACAACTTAAAGGGACCTGGTTTAAAGGACTAAAAAAAAAGGAAAGAGAGACAGTATGGTAAAGGACTTCTCTTAAGAAACTTAAGCTTCATTTTTTTGAAAAAGAAAAGTATTTTACCTGTTTGTCATTAACTAGTGAAAGTATTTGTATGGTCTCCTAGCAGGTTGAACTTACTGGAAGTTGCTAGAAGTAACTAACAGGAAGTTACCTTGGGGAAGTGTTAGGATGCCACCGTTCATACTTCCCTGGTGCTTTTTAGAGTAGTTGGTACAGCACACATATGGTATTGGGTCCCCCCTAAACAAAGATTGCTGTCATAGGATTCAATGTGCTGAGACAGTAACTCTAGCAGACTCAGATTCAAATACTAGGCTCGCTACTTTACCCAATATGCCACCTTGAGCAAATGATCTAACTGCTTCAGGTTTTATTTTATAATGTAAAAAGAAAAAAGGGAAGAGGACAATAATACCTTGAAAGAGTGTTATAAAGTCTGAAAAAGGCCAAACGTCAATTCTAAAAAAAGTCCTCTCTTACTGTTTGTTTTTTGTTTTGTTTTGTTTTGCTTTTTGTTTGTTTTTACCATATTAGAGATCCAACCTGGGGGCACGCTACCGCTGAGCTACATCCCCAGCCTTTTTTATTCTTTATTTTGAGACCAGGTCTCACTAAGTTGCCCAAAGCAAACTTGCAGTCCTCCTACTTCAGCCTTCTAAGTAGCTGGGATTATAGGTGTCCACCACACTTGCCTTTCTTTTTTAACTTTTACCAAGGTCTTCCTGCATCTACTTTGCTCAGCCATTATTGTTAAAAATGTCCCATGCACTAAAGACTTTTTGTGGAGAGATTACTTAGATAATTGTATAAATGAGGTAAAATATTTCAGTATGTCCTAAAAATTGGAATGATACAATATATAGGTATGCCTTCTTTGTTCCTTAAAATATGCTAAAACCATAACTTTAATAAATTGAATAGTATTTGTTATGGTTTGTGCCTAGATGCCCCTGCCAAGCCTATGTGATCATAGGCAGGACTTTTTCCAGGGGTGGCTGAATGTAGAGTGTGTGATGCTGGGATTGATTCATGGTGTAATGCTAGGCTCAAGGGCACCAGGATTAAGGGTGTAAGTGCTACCCACCCTAAGTAGCCAGATAAGGGATAGAAAGAGCTGTGGTCTTCCCTTGTTTTGCTACCTTCTGCCCACCATGAACTGTTTCTCCTCTGCAATGTTTGTCTGCCTCGCCACCCTACCTTGAAAACAGCCAGTTATGGACTGCGACTTCTACAAACTCTGAGCTAAATAAATCTCTCCTCTTTTAGCTTTAGGTGTTGGATATTTTGTCTCAGCAAAGAGAAAAGTAAGACAGCATGGCCACTGGAAACATAAGCTGTAATGCTGCCACCTCTTACCTGCTCTTGTAACAATCAGTGTGTAACCACATGCTTATCAGTCTTATCTTCCTTTGAGTATCTGTGGGTGGCAGTGAACACAGCAGGCTGTTTTTTCCCCAGGTGCTGAATAGTGGCAGCATAGAGTACTAGAACTGGAAGGGCCTTTAGAAGTCATGCGACCCAAGCTGAGAAAGAATCCATGGTTAGCGCAGAATTTGCACTCTGACCTCTCACCCACCCTGTCCTGAGTTTTCTGCCATGTGCTCCAAGGCCTTGGGATAAGTGTGTTGGTCCAGGAAAGGCTTGAAGAGTCTGTGTACTCTCAATTCTGTTCTGCTTTCACACTTAGTGTTTGCTTAGCATTATGGCAGCTCAGAGAATTGTGATAAGTAGGCTTTGGAAGCAGACAAACAGATTTGAATCTTGGCTTGGCCCCTCACTAGCTCTGTGACCTCTCCAATCCTGTCAGCTCCACCTTTAAACATAACCTCATCTTTGGTTGTGCCACCATGAGCACACGGGAAATCATAAAAATGCAAATCAGATCTGTCATTTCTCACCACCTCCACTGTTACTGGCCTCGGCCAAGCTACCATTATCCCTCTCCTGAACAACAGCAATAGGCTCTTGGACGTCACCTGGCTTCAATTCTTGCTCCTCTGTTGTCTGTTCTCCACACAGCAGCCTAAAGCAGAAATGTAAGCCAGACTGTGCCACTGTCCTGTAAAATCTTCCAGGCACTCGCCATTACACCCAGCACAGATTCCTGAGTTTTCACCATGAGCTTGAGGCCTTACATGACTTTCCTGCCCTATGTACTCAGTTACCTGGTTGCCCGACTTTTCTTTCCTGGCCGGGAATGCCTTTCCCATAGATCTTACCTCCTCCCTTCACTGAGCCTCTGTTCAAATGTCTCAGAAAGCACTACTGAACAAATGAATATGGCCCTCTCAGCATTTTCCTTCCCTGTTGCTCAAACTTTTCTTCAGAGCACACCGATGCAAGTCATTACGTTATATACATAGTTCTTTCTTTCTTTACTCTTCCCATTGTCTTTCCAGTTGTAAGCACTTTTTCTTTTTCTCTTTTTAA